TTTCACGATGGGATCGGTGGGTGGAAATTAGCCAAGACTCACGATGAGATCCATCATACAGGAAAGCAGTTGTATGAACAGAAGAAGTGTGAATATGTTGATATCCCGATTGTCAAAAGTAAGAGAGTTAACATCATTAATGAGTATGATGAAAATGAATTGGTTGAACTTGTTGAGAAATATAGGTGCTTGATGATTAAGGCTAAATTCGCAGGAGCGGGGAAGTCCACCATCTGCAAGAACATGGAGAGACTCAAGGGTTATAAAGTGTTGTTCGTGGTTCCTACCAATAATCTGGGTTTGGAGTGCGAAGTGGAAAGCGTCACTGTAAATAAATTCTTCAGTATAGCAGTCAATGACGAGAAGCTAGATAAATACGATCATTCGATGTTTGATGTCATTGTGTTTGATGAGATTTGTTTTAATAATACCTTTGTATTGGCAAAAATTAAGGGCTTTGTAGAGCAACATAGGGCTAATAAAATCATATTAGCTACTGGTGACGCCAAGCAATTGAGCCCCATAAAAGCACTGACTAACACTAAGAAACACGAGATTTATATGAATGAATGTATTGATAGCATTTTTCCCCATCATTTGTTTTTGGAAGAGTGCAAGCGATTGAAGACTCAGGAGGACAAGGATAAACTTAAAAGTATTTATGCCGACATCTTTGAGCATGAGTTGTCTCTACATGATGTCATCAATAAGTATTTTAAATATACTGATGACATCACAGGAACAGAAAGCAATGTCGCATATTTAAATAACACTTGTAGAGAGGTTTCAAGGCAGATCAGAAAACGACAGGGCAAACAAAATGAGTTTGAAGTCGGCGAGATTATGATATGCAGAGAGTATAGGAAGACAAAAACCTATAAGTTAAATGTGAATTTTAGGTATGAGATAATTAATATTTCCGATCCTTGGATTACCATTGCTAATATCAAAACACGAGAAGAGATTACATTACATATTGGTATCTTGAGAAGTCATTTTATCTTTGCCTTCTGTTATACTTGTCATTCTGTTCAGGGGTGTTCCATTGATGACGATGTCACCATTTTTGATTGGAACCATCATCTGATAACTCGTGAGTTTTTGTGGACTGCAATCACTAGAGCAAGGGATTTAAACAGAGTAAAATTTTACAAATACAGTAGTGATTTAAATGAAGAGTTTAACGCAAAATGCATTATGAATTATTTTGATAGAAAGGTGTTAGCATACAAGGAACAGGATAGGAAAAACAAATTTGAGATCCCAAAAGACAATTATGTGGATGCCGAATGGTTGAAGGACAATGTCAACGGAAAGTGTGCAAATTGTGGCTGTGGCTTCGTGTTGTCAATGGACTCTGGTAATATAAATTCTAATCTGACTTGTCAAAGGTTATGTAATGATCTACCCCATACAAAAGATAATATGATGGCTTTTTGTGCTTCTTGTAATCGGTGCTTCAGTAACAAAATTTCGTTTTAAAGAAATAGTGATTTGGGTATATAGAGGTATGAATCGGTATGAAAAGGGGAAAATCTACAAAGTTACAGATGTTGGATATACCAAGTGCTATATTGGTAGCACAACCGAAAGTTTGAAAAAACGGTTTGAGAGACATAGGAGCAAGTATAAAGAGTATCTGCAAGGTAAGGCGGATAATACTCGTGTATACTTTTTATTCGATGAGTTTGGAGTGGGAAATTGTAAAATTGAACTGATTGAAGAATACTCGTGTAACAATAGAGCAGAGTTGGAAAGACAAGAAGGCAAACATATTAGACGTAGCAATTGCATTAATAAAGTTGTTGCGGGCAGGACCCGCAAAGAATGGTATGATGATCTAAATGAATATCTATGTTTGCAACAGAGAGTATATCGGGAGTTGCACCCAGAGAAGAGAAAAGAAGAAGGGCGGAGACGTTATCAAAAAATTAAAGATGTTCAATCTGAAAAACATCTATGTGGGTGTGGTAAATACTTCACCTTTGGACACAAGAAACGGCACGAAAACTCACAGAAACACCGAGACTGGCTCATGGATCAAAATAAGCAACCAGAGCAAGAACCACAAGTAGAAGAAGATAAATAAAATCTCATCTTTATTAATATGAGCAGTATTAATAAAGATGATATAATTTCAACCATATATTATGATCGGGCTGGGTTCGGTAGCGTTGCCACCACTTATAAGGATGCAAAAAAGAAAGATGCATCCATAACAATGCAAGATGTCAAGGAGTGGTTTCAAGAGAACGTGGAAAGGAAAAAACAACTGTCTGGATACAATTCATTCATCGCTCCACATGTTCTGTATGAATTTCAGCTTGATTTGTTCTTTATTTCAAAAAATGATTTACAAACTCAAAAATTTAGTATAGGTTTAGTTCTTATTGATGTTTTCTCCCGTAAAGCCGCGGTGATGCCTATCATGTCAAAGCAACCTGCCGACATCACTGCTGGGATAATGGAAGGTTTGAACAAACTCGGGAAGCCCCACCTCATTTACTCTGATGACGAAGGGAGTCTTAACAATCAGGATCTTGTTGACTTTTTCAAGGATCAACAAATAGAGAATTACAAAACAAGAGGGCACCCTCATTTTGTTGAGCGCTTCATCCGCACGTTCAAGGACATGCTTTTCAAGAGGGTTGATGCAGACGAGAAAAAGGGAAAGGTTAATATACAATGGATTGATTATATCCCCGAGATCGTGCTGACATACAACAGTAAAATGGTTCATTCTGCCCACGATATGACTCCAAACGATGCCCACAAAAAGGGAAACCATCTTGAGGTCAAGATGAAGCTTGAGATGAACAGAATCAAAACCCGTAAATATCCCCCTGTTAGGGTTGGCGATGAGGTCAAAATATACCGCAAAAAGGGAATCAGTGAGAAGGAGAGAACGAGTTCGTGGTCAGCAAACAAGTTCACAATTGAAAGGATTGAGCGAAAACTTGGACAAGACTATTATTATGTCCAAGGTGTGACTCGTGCTTATTTGAGATCGGAAATTCTGAAGGTCTGAAGCAAAAGGCTAGGGCAATGGCTTCGGAAGGCTAGGGCAGTTGCTTCGGAAGACTAGGGCAGTTGCTGTGGAAGGCTAGGGCAGTTGCTGTGGAAGGCTAGGGCAGTTGCTGTGGAAGGCTAGGGCAATGGCTTCGGAAGGCTAGGGCAGTTGCTTCGGAAGACTAGGGCAGTTGCTGTGGAAGGCTAGGGCAGTTGCTGTGGAAGGCTAGGGCAGTTGCTGTGGAAGGCTAGGGCAATGCTTCGGAAGGCTAGGGCAGTTGCTGTGGAAGGCTAGGGCAGTTGCTGTGGAAGGCTAGGGCAGTTGCTGTGGAAGGCTAGGGCAGTTGCTTCGGAAGTCACAGGCATTGCTCAGGACGGGCTTCCAGAGAGCACTGTTGGAAATGATGCCATTCAGAACAGAGGCAGAATGGCATATCCGATTTTATCATATATTAAGCACGGAAGACTTCTATGACGAGGATGAAGAATTTAGCGATAATGAAAGCGCGGCTAGCTATTATTGAGATGAATGTTTCAGTTCTTGATTATACTATAGTTACAACATATAAGATCTTATATGTTGTAATTTTAGTTTAATTTTCCCGCATAAGCCGTGGTGGTGCTTTCCTACATAGGCCTTTCCCGTCCGCATTTTGCCATCCATATTTTACTGGATTATTTTCAAGATTTGGGTTAACGGTTTTAATTCTCCCTTTTCCATTGGTTAACCATTTTTGGGGGAGTGATAATTTGTGTAGTATGGCGCCGGGAGAGCTTAGAAAATACGCAGTTAGAAGACACTTAAAGACATGATGGTAAATAGTAGTATGGAAAACTTACAGAGATGCAGTAGGTGCAGAAAACAGAAAGAACTAGGAGAGTTCAAGGATGGGAGAAAAGTATGTAATTATTGCCTTTCTACTGCTAAGACTTATCAACAAAATCATCCCGAGAAAATGGCGGAGAAATGTCATAAGTATTATGTCAATCATAGAAACGAGATTTTGGAACAGAAGAGAGAAAAACGACTTTGTGATCTTTGCAAAGTAGAAGTAGCTAAATCAGAATGGACGAAGCATTTAATCACTAGTCGGCACAAACGATATCAAATGATAGAAGCTGGGGAGAAGTTGGAAGCCGATCGTGGCGATTCGTGGTGGTGCGATGTCTGTCAAGTATTTTTAGCAAAGAAAACATCCAAGTGTAGCCATAATGGATCGAAAAGGCATTGTGAATTAGCAAAATCACAAGGAGTTGAGGAGTAAATGGGTTGATACATTTGTTTTGCGATGATTGTATCAATGCATTTGGGATATTTATTAATTTAATGGGTGGGATTTTGCGCAGTGTGGCGGGTGGAGTGGGGACAAAATGCGCAGTATGACGGCGGGAGAAGTCACCACTAACTCCCTCCCCCCCCCCCCGGGTCTCAGGCTCGATTCCTCCCTGGTCCATCCCCCCCCCCCGGGCAGTGGCTCAGTGTTCAGCAGTCTCGGTTTGCCCGTTTTGGACTTGGTGCTACGAACTTTTACATGTTCCACCGATTCAGCTTGTTCATTTGAGACCTCAGTCTTCTCGGTAAACCACCTCGCAAGAATCTTTGCACTCGCTGCGTGCAGAACCCAGAGGTGCTTTAAGACAGCTTCTGACGCCTCTCGTTGTTTTCAGTTTTCAAGGTTTGCCACGCCACCATGTGCGTTTGCGTGTCGCATCCTACGAATCTTGCCGGGCCTCTCGTTGTACACAAGCTACCTATGAATCCACTCTGTCACCGACCCATCTCATGCAACAACTGCTAGCTTTCGTTCACCCGCTCCTCAAGTTCTGGAGGGGCTTTGCAAGATACCTCAGCTAAACTCAACTGCTTTGACTGCTGTTGTGCGGCCAGGCAAAAAAGCAATTTCTGGCTGAGCAAGACTCTCCAGGATCAGATTCGGTTTGTATGCTCCCGGTGTATAAAAAGCTGAGTGGGCACTTACTGACAAGCCAAGGCTTACTATGGAAAGGAGCCGCCAAAAGGAGGCGATACTCCCTGCAGAGGCACCAGATGACAGGATTGATTCGAACTTATTCCAAATGTTCAGCGCTCGATTCGCAGTTGGCAGGCCTTCGTGCAGGGCGACGTTCCTGATCGATCGGAACTGGCCAGACGTTTTGGCCAACTTTGGGACACGTATGCTTCTTCGCTCGTCGGCTTCTTGGCTGCAGTGGTTACGCACAGGCTGGCAAACCTCCAGCGGTAGAAAGCTTTGAAAATGCGAACTTTTGTTGAAGTGTGTCGAACTTAGGCGGCGTCAGCTCCCAGACTGCCGCGAAGTACCGCGACCACTGCTATCACAGATACGAGCTGCTTGCAACTGCAGATGGTTTCAGATTGAAACTTGTACCCTTGCGGATGCAAAGTTGTCAGCGTTGTGATTTTGCAAAGATGTTCGTGAAGCGTTGCTGGCTGGAGTCTGGATGTGCCAAGCAGTTGCCCCCAGCTTGGCCTGTGCGCATGGTTAGCAGCTGGAAGTAAAACACATTCAGCAAGCGATAGTTCGAACAAATACAAAGAATACCGTTTGATACCAGCAATGCCTCTCCAAGAGGCCGGTGGAAACGAATGGCTGCAGGAGCATGCGCAGAGCTTTTTCTTTAGGGATCACTGGACTTGGTAGGAGGTTACGATGGAGCCCCCAAACTCAAGAAGGGCGGGCCCTTCATAAGCTGCGGGCATGTGCCTCAGAACGAACAAGTTGCTCACTGTCTTTGGCTCTAATCCTGCAATTTCTAGGCGTCAATTCTTGTTTGGATGGATGCGTTTGCCCATCAAAAGTGCCTAGGCCGGCTCGGGAGAAGGCCCAATGAATTCCAACGAATGTCGCAGCCGAGCTTTTGGCCCAGGGCCCACGCGGATCAGATCGCGATCTGGCGCTCGAATCACAGCGGTGAGCTCCGTCGGGGGCAGATGGCCCCCCGGAAGAAGCCGACGGCCGGGGCTGAGCCGCAGCTCCGATGTTGGGATGTTGACTCATAGGGATGTTGGGAGGTTGTGTAAGTCAGACAATCTTTTAGGGTTGTTTTCATGGAAATCCCCTCGCGGGGGTGACCCACTTTGCTTTCACGGGAAGGCTGGGTTTCCACAACCCAAGCATGCTGGTTTCCCGTCAACTTGCTAGCGCCATGAAGCGACACGGTTTCGAGCTTGCACGGCAGCTGTGACAGCCGCTATCCTTTTGGCACTGAGGTGAGTGTGCACAAATCCCTGTTCCCCAGCATCGGGGACGTGATCACCACTGCCTCCTGCCGACTGGTGGCTGGGCAAACCTGCATTGTCCGATATCGTTTGCAAGGAGTTTGCAGCTACTTCGGCCCGGGCCATACCGCTTCTCAGCCGCACTTTGCAAATCCGCCGAGGGCCATACAGAAAGCAGGTGCCGAGAGCAGGTGTTGTGTTCGAGGCGATTTTGTGCCAGCAATTTGTTTGCCATGCAGAGAGGCGTTGTGTCAAATACAACCCTCCAACCTTTGAGCTCGCAGCTCGACGCAGCCTGCATCCCGTCTGCTCTCCAACACATCGAGCGTCAGAAGTCACTGGAAACGAACGGTCTCAAGCTGGTGCTGCCAAAAGTGCCAATCGCCCCGGCACAGAACGTTCCCTGGAAGGCACATTGAATCGATGGCTGCCTGAAACAGATGCAAGGTCATGAAGGACGAGCGCGAGCCCGTGCCCTGGCCGGTGCCACGCAAAGTTCTGGGGGACACGCCCTTCATCGCGCTGGTGCCACCGGGGCTTAGCTACTGCGCGGCTGGTGGGGGAGGCTTCTACCTGGGCCATCAAGCCTTCAACAACGCGGGCCCGGCGATGTTTGCACCCCTAGGCTGAGAAGGCTAAGATGGAACGATCAAATTGCATCCCTGAGCATTTTGCCCCACACAAACCCGGTCGAACTTGTGCAGGGCCGCATTTGAGGTCCCATGCTAGGTTTGGGGCTGCCATTTTGAAAGCTGTGCACTGCCGCCTGCTTGCTGTTTGGTGGGCAAGTCGAAGACCACACTCCGTGCAACGTGACCAGTGTCCCGAGTGCAATCAGGGGTCACTGAGCTTCGGAGGCGCAGGTGCTTGCAGCACGCATGGATACAAACAGCGATAAGGACTCCTGCAGCAGCTCAACGGCACATCACCTGTGAATGGTTCTGCACTCAATGGACGAATCCACGCTAAGGCTGAATTGATTTGACTAAAGCAACATGGGAAGCATCCGCATGACACAGAGCCCCAGCTTCACCGCAACAAGCTTGCTTAAGTCCCTGGCCGCGCCAGGTGGATCCCAACCTCCGGGCGGACCTGCCAAAAAGCTCGGACGGGCAGCCGCAGCTGCTGGGCCACGTAGAGATGTCCATGCCCTCCCTGATCCGCGCCTCCCGCGGCACTGGGAAGGCCTCCAAGAGCCAGGCGGAATCCGCGCCCCTCGCGGGCTGCCGCGTTTGCTCAGCCAAGTCGGGTTGTGGTCAGTTGGAGTTTTAGAGGCCCAGTTGAGCCTCGGCAGTTATTTGTCATTTTGGCAAACCGCCCTGCTGCCAAGTGAGAAGCCATGACGTGTTGCAGTTGAGGCAGAGGGACGAATACCTTGTACGAGCAGACTCCTTCAATGCCTTTGAGATCCTTTGAGTGCCCTTCTACACGAACAAACACTTGAAGACTTCATGTTTCAACTCATCGAGATATATTGATGGTCATTTAGAAGGTCTCGCCTGAAGTATTGTAGCTTTGATGGCATCCATGTTTTGTTGACTCCAGAGGCGTCATTTCGGATCTCACTTCTTGGGGCTGGCCCCTCCTTCCGCTTCTCCCTGACAGAACTTCGAGCTTCGGCTCTTCTGCTCCTCGAAGCAGCGGATCATCGGGTGCATCGGGGAGCCGGTGCGGCTCACGGTCTGGAACCAGAACCCGCCCCCGCCCTTGGAATCCTTGCAGATTCGCTGCGAAGGCGCCCGACTTTGGGGCTATTGGCTGGGACTCAGGTTGGCCGGGACGGCCTGTGGACCCAAGGGTGCGACCCGTCCCGAGAGCAGCTTGCAAGAATCCCATGATCAGTTGCCCACATAGATTTGATCTCCATAGCCAAAGGTTTATCAAGCTGTGCCTTTGAGAGCCATGCTGATCTGCAGAAGCCTGCCCCACCCATTGCAACCGCTTCAGGGCGAAACGTGACGCTGCGCTGGAATGCCCTGGACCTATCAGACCTCCCCAAGGAGAGCCAACCCGACAACCTGCGGGTGCTCCTGAAGACTTCCAACATGGAGGTCCGCCGGTGCAGTCAAATGCCGGGCATGTGGGCGCCTGTTTTTTTTCCCCCCCCCCCTTTTTTCCGCATTTGTTCGAGATGCATACACCGGGATTGCTATTGTGGAGGTGTGTGTTTGTTTGCCACTGAAAATCGAGCCGCATCCTGCCTAGTGGGATGCACACGTATGGCCTGATGTTGAAAGCGCGTCCTAGCCCTTTTGCTCAATGTGGAATTTGTCTTTGGGATCGATTTCGGGACAGTTGCACCGCTTTCAAGCACAATGTCGCAGCTGCTGGCCTTTCTCCTTGAACTTGACATGTGGAACATTCCTCGGTCACAATCACGTCCTTCAATCGCAACTTTCTGCCATGTGGCAAGCCCGCTTGAAAGAAGCAGAAAGTCACCCTCGGGCTTCCTCAGGCTGTGAACTAATCAGCTCAATGAATGATCCCAACCCGCACTCGACCTCAGGACACCATCGTCCTCAAGCCGGAGGTCACGGAGCACGAGTTCCAGGACCTCACACCTGACACAGAGTACGAGTTCCGGGTCCGCGCAGAAAATGTGGCAGGCAGCGGCCGGGACGTATCTTGGCCCAAAACGGCTGGGCCGGAGCTGTTGCACCCGCCTTGTCAAACAATGCTTATTCTTGCTAACAGGGGTAGAGGCAGTAGCTCATATGCACTTCAAGCTGAAGGCGGGAGGACTCCCATCATATATATGGCTTGTTTTCTGAGCGGCATGGGATGAATCACCCCATCGAGGGTGGGATTCAATCAACATTGGTGCCAAAGGCCGTGTTTTGGGTGGCTGGAAGCGAGACAATGAGAGAAACCCCAGATCAATAGCAACCTGCGGTCCAATGGGAGCTGCCATTCCTAAAATTGACCCAGCCCAGATTCCTCAAACGCTGTGCCAATACAGCCCCCTAAACAACAACCGCCCCCCAAACAAACATCTTGCCTTGGGGGAAACATGTGTATGAATAGCGTCCATACGTTTGCCAGGGGATGTCACTGCTTGGGTCAGATGGTGCTTTGCTTAGTGAAGGTAGAAAAGCATTTTTATCTCTTGATTGCTTGGCATACAACCTTAGAAGGGAGGAAGACAGGAGCAGTTGTGTCATTGTCCGGATTTGACCCCTACTGGTGTTTAGAATGGGCTTGGCATCGGCGAATTCTAATTTAGTGTTGGGACATTTGGGGTCGAGGAAACATGACATGTTATTTATTCATAGTGTGCATTCATGAACTGGGGGAATGAATATTTCAAAGCACTCACTCACCCCAAAAAGACAACACCAGAAAACATGAAAACCAAAGTGACAAAAGGGCACAACAAACGCTTCACAAACTTGAATTTCTTTGCATACTTTGTGCGTGTGCGGGCGCATGAGTGCTTGAGCGTGTCCTGGTGTGTTTGTGTGTTATTTGTTTGTTTGTTTCTCTCTCTGTCTGCCTGCCTGCCTGCAAAACTTTCCAGGTCGTGGCCCACTGCCGGATCAATGCCAGCTGCCCGGCACCGCACCAACTGATCGCAGCCTCCATCGGCACCGCGCAGGCGCTGGTGCGGCTGGATAGGGCTTGGAGACAAATAGCGAGCCTGCTTTTGTTGGTTGACCACCTGGTGCAATAGGCAAGAGCGCCCACCAACTTGCCCGCAAACACAACACTGAATCAATCCACTGCAATCCAACCAATCAAGTAATAATAAACCAC